CGGGGACAGGACGGGTGGTGACACTTTGGGGGGGCTGGAGGTGACACCGGGGGTGGCACCTGGGGCGGGGGGTCTCACCTGGCCCTGGACCCCCCCAGCCCCCGGGCCTGGCTCACCTGGGGCTCCCAAATGTCACCTGGGGCTCCCCAAATCTCCCCTGGGGCTCCCCAAATCTCCCCTGGAGTTCCCCAAATCTCACCTGGGGCTCCCCAAATCTCACCTGGGGCTCCCAAATCTCACCTGGGGGTCCCAAATCTCACCTGGGGTTCCCCAAATCTCACCTGGGGCTCCCAAATCTCCCCTGGGGCTCACCTGGGGCTCCCAAATCTCCTCTGGGGCTCCCAAATCTCCCCTGGGGCTCCCCAAATCTCACCTGGGGCTCCCCAAATCTCACCTGGGGCTCACCTGGGGCTCCAAATCCCCCCCGGAGCTCCCAAATCCCACCTGGGGCTCTCCAAATCTCCCCTGGGGCTCTCCAAATCTCCCCTGGGGCTCCCCAAATCTCACCTGGGCTCACCTGGGGCTCCCAAATCTCACCTGGGGTTCCCCAAATCTCCCCTGGGGCTCCCCAAATCTCCCCTGGGGCTCCCCAAATCTCACCTGGGGCTCACCTGGAGCTCTCCAAATCTCACCTGGGGGTCCCCAAATCTCCCCTGGGCTCACCTGGGGCTCCCCAAATCGCCCCTGGGGCTCCCAAATCTCACCTGGGGCTCCCAAATCCCACCTGGGGCTCCCCAAATCGCCCCTGGGGCTCACCTGGGGCTCCCCAAATCTCCTCTGGGGCTCCCCAAATCTCACCTGGGGCTCCCAAATCCCACCTGGGGCTCCCAAATCTCCCCTGGGCTCCCCTGGAGCTCCCAAATCTCACCTGGGGTTCCCCAAATCTCACCTGGGGCTCCCCAATCTCACCTGAGCTCACCTGGAGCTCCCCAAATCTCACCTGGGCTCACCTGGGGCTCCCAAATCCCCCCCGGGGCTCCCAAATCCCCCCTGGGGCTCCCCAAATCCCCCCCGGGGCTCCCCAATCCCCGGGTCCCCCCCGGAGCTCCCAAATCCCCGTGTCCCCCCGGCTCTGCCGCGGGTGCCCTGCGGGGGTGGCACGCGTGGGGGAGGGGCTGTCCCCG